ACAGGCCCGTGTAGGGCACCAGCTCTGAGGTAGCTGGCTCAGGAAGGGGGTGGACGGAAGAAAGGGGTAGGCATGGGTGATCAAGTGGAAGCAGAAGACAAAACCTGCCACTGTGCAACTTTGCCCAGGGCTCCTTGTGATTATCTTGTGGGAAGTCAATTTTCTAGTTTGGAAGAAGCCCCTGTTCCACTGGGCAGCTGGACTTCATGAGATGGGATGAAAGGGTGTTGTGTTTCTTCTGCTTCTTCTAGTGCAGGCAGTGGCTCTTGGCACAGTTCAGGACAAGAGTCTTTGTCCTGTTTTGATCAGTGACTCTCTGGACCTTCATGCTTCTCCCCTAGAATGTTTTTAGTTTGAAAATGACATGTTTTGGAGACCTCTGGTAAGAGAAGTTGACACTAGTTTAATTCGTGGCCCGGAAGTCATTTAACCTCCCTGGCCTTGATTCTGCACCTATAAATGAGGGGGTTGGGATTTTATAATTCCGTATATTTGGTAATTACATCCAAGACAAACCAATGTCAACCAATGACTACAAAGTACATAAAAGGAGATAAACATGCACTTCAATCTTAAGTCACAGTAAAAGGTTCTTAGACATAATTAAAGTCTGTATCACATTTTAAATAATGAATTAGCTACTACATCTCTAGTAAATACTACTTGTTAGTTTTATATATGCCAGTCAAAATCCACATTATTTCATGAAATGTTGTTATAGAGGGATATCACTTCCATAGAATATTTTTTTAACTAGAATATTATAAAGTAATAAAACTTGCAGAAAACTTGTATTGCACGATGTTTCACATGGACTTAGGTAATGATACAGTGGTTTTCTAATGTGTTCCACAGAATCATATAAGTTGCTTGAAAGTAGACTCAAGAGAATACTACAGTGTCTAATTTGTGATTTGCAACTCCTTCATTCTTTCCTTAAACAAAGACTTAGTCGGGGCTTACTCAGAGCTCAAGGTTGTGCTGGGGCAAAATGGTGAGAGATACGGGGACAGAGCCCCCCTCTCCTTAACTTACAGTCTGGACCAGAAGGCAGGCAGATAATCACGCCAATGAGTTATAAACCGAAATGTTTCCAAAGACTAGGAAGCCAGTATCCTGAGACTTATATCGACAGAACTTCGGCTGGGGGCAGGGAATATTTCTCCAAGGAATTGTTGTACCTGCTATGACACTTGAGCCAGGCTCTGAAGTAGAGGTTGGCAGGTGTGTGGGTGTGTGCAAGGGGAGTGGGTGTTCAGTGGGTGGGGGGTGTTTCACACAGAGGAACAACAAATGCAACATCCTTGCCAGGCCAGGCTACATGATTTGCCAGTTCCAGGACAAAATGAAAATGTGAGGCCCTTGCTCAAAACTATGAAGAATTTAAAGATGCTGACAGCAGGTACAGGGCCCATGTAGGCAGGGAACCATGCACAGTGGCACAGGTTTCAGGCCCATGAAGCTGGGCCTGGTCCTCTCATGGAAGGGGGTATGAGGCTTAGGCGTCGAGGTGAGTGAGAGGCCGGTGTGGTAGGAGCAGAGAGCTCCAGGAGGTGGTACGAGTAGGAGCGGGCGATCACATTCACCTGGCGATTACATCAACGACTGCCCATCAGGGCCCTACAAAACAAGGCCATATGTTTTTACTACCTCAATAATACTGTCATGATTTCATTTTGATTTCCTAAGTCTGGTGTCTCCATTGTTACTTTTTTTAAAAATGATTTTTCCCAGCTTTATTGAGGTATAATTGACAAATAAAAATTGTATGTTTAAGGTGTACACCATAATGTTTTGATATATAATTTAAAATGTTTGCCACAATCGAGCTAACTAGGTATTTATCACCTCACATACTTTTTTTGGTGAGAACAATTAAGATCTACTCTCTTGGCAAACTTCAAGTGTACAATACAGTGTTGACTACAGTCACAACGATGTACATTAGATCCCCAGAACTTGTTCATTCTGCATATCTGAAACTTTGTCCCTTTTCACCAACATCTCCCCATTTCCTCCACCCTCTGGCCCCTGGTAACTACCACCCTATTCCTGCTTCTGAGTTAGACTTTCTAAAATTCCACATATAAGTGAGATCATGCAGTTTTTATCCTTCTGTGTTGTGAGGAGGATGCTCTGTGGCTAGCGCGTGCTCCGGCGCAGGCTTTGGAAATTCAAAGAAAACGCGAGTGGCAGCAGGCAGATGAGACATGCTCTTTATTGTCTTTCAGGGGGATACAGCAGTGGCTAAAAGCATGGCCAAGAACATGGCGAGCACTTATATATAGCTCTGAACATTAGTGGCAACATGCCACGGGAAAGTGCAATCACATGGGTTCATACAGGAGATAACACCTTGGTTACATGAGTATACTGACTCATGCCACCCTGGAAGGCCAGCTAACCAAGGGGGCCGGGCCAGAAAAAACACAGCGGCAGTCATCTTAGTTTGGCCTAAGAAACCTGTTGCCTACACAAATGCAGTTTCCCTTACATGTGTCTGGCTTATTTCACTTAGCATAATGTCTTCCAGGTTCATCTGAGTTGTCACAAGCAAGATTTCCTTCTTTTTAAAGGCTGAATAGTATTGCATTGTTTATACAAACCACAATTTCTTTATCCATTCATCCATGGATGGACACTTAGGTTGATTCCCTACCTTGGCTATTGTGAATAGTGCTGTAATGAACATGGGAGTGCAGATACCTCTTTGAAATAACTGATATCATTTCCTTTGGATATATACCCAGAGTGGGATTGTTGGATCATATAGTTACATTTTTAATTTTTTGAGGAAACTCCATACTATTTTTCTAATGGCTATACCAATTCTCCACCATTACTGCTAGAAAATAAAACCAGGACAGCAGAAATTGTTCAGGTGGGGAAAGCTTGAAATCTCTGGTCCTCTTGCTTTCTTGGCACCAGATGCCCAGGATGATTGGTTGCATAAAATTTGCCAGTTGAGCATGTGGAAAGGCCTGTCTGCACAGGTGTGACCTATCAGAGCATGTATTATTGAACTGTTGCAGAGAGCCGTATCCAGCCTTCAAATTTAAAAGAATATAGAAAAGTCATTACTTACAGCATTACCTGAGTTCAAATCCTGGTTTTTCCACGTGCCAGTATGTGATCTTAGCCAAGTTATTTACTTGGTTGTTTATGAACATTGAAACTCACGTTTTTATTTTCTTTTTCTGAGACAAGGTTTCACTGTGTCACCGGGGCTGGAGTACAGTGGTGTGATTATAGCTCCCTGCAGCCTCGAAATTCTCCGCTCAAGCTATCCTCCCTCCCGGGTCTCCCAAATGTGGGACTACAGGTTGTGAGCCACTGAGTTTAGCCAAACTCATGTTTTTAAATAGTTAAAGTAATACATATATGGTCAAAAATTATGACAATAGGATCTGGAGAAATTTTTCAGAACTTTTCCAGGCATGTACAATATATTTCCAAATCTTTTACACAAATGGATTGTACTATACATAATGTTATTTTTATCTTTATTAATACCTATTAAAATATTACCATTTTCTTATGGATTTCCTAGTATTTTGTTTTTATGGATGTACCTTATTTATGGAAATAGTCCTATTAAGAAACATACAAGTGGCTTTCTTTTGGGGGTTAATACAGAACAATGCTTTGATGAACATCTGCTTACTAGTATTTAATACAAGTCTAACAGGAGAATAAATTCCTAGAAGTAGAGCTGCTGGGTTCAAGATTATGGTCATTTTCAATTTTAGTAAGTATTACCAAAGAGGCAAGTTATTTAAGTGAGCCCTGATTTGTTCATCTTTGTAAATAGTGGACAACAGTGACTTTCTCAAAGGTTTGTTATAAGCATTAAATGAGATGGAGGCATTCAAAAGCCTAGCATAAAGCAAGTAGGCTGTTAGTGAGTATTGTTCTCCCAACTTGCCTTTTACTTAGAAAGACAACTATTTAAGAATATTATGATGGATATCATGGCTTTGGCTATGAGCTCCGCAAACACAAAAATTCACAGAAAGTTCTGTAACACCATATCTATTTTAAACCCCATTATTGAGGTTAATGGGACTAGTGAGATCTCCGGAGGTCAAAAAGAACATATTTGAGAAGACACAAATTGGACATTAAATACCATTTTCCTAGCCTAATAAAGTTGATGTGATAGTTGCCTCTTTTATTATCTCTGGTAATAAAAACCAAACATAGTAGACTATTATTCCAATTAAGATACATCTTCCAGTAGTGTCTTTTGTACTTGAATGACAAATCTTGCTGCTCAATTCAAGTCATTCGTTTATTAATAAAACTCATTTTCCAACTCTGATGAAAAACAGTTTGACAAAAAATGGAAAATTTTAGACCTTTCATTTCCACTTCAGGAAACCTGTTGTACCCCCAAACTTCTGCGGCCCTTAGGCATTTTGCAGTTTATCGAGAGTTGAGAAGGAGGTTAATGGGATATCTCAGAATGAAGTCCCCAAACGTCCCCGTCCCCGAAGCTCCAGGCCGGATCACAGCCTGAGGGAAATTCCAGGCTGGCGGCAGAAGCTCCCAGAAGGGCCCATCGTCAGGCCAGGAAGCCATTGCTCCGCTCCTTCCCGGCTGTTTATTGGCACTTGTGGTATTCAGCCCAGAGTACACCCGACCCCACAGCAACCCCGACGTGGGGCAAGGATCCCGGGCGGTGACTCCTGCCCTGCGGGGCACGTATGGAGCCACCGTCGCCCCCTCCCGCCTCATGCGCGGGAAACTCCGCGCCTCGGCGTGCGGCGCCGTCCTGTGTGAACCCGAGTGGGACTCGGCTCACCGCACCACTGAACGTTTCCCGCGGGGCGGCCATGCGGGAAGTGGGCCATGCCCCAGGGCGCCAGCCCCGAACCCCGTCGCCACTCAGGCCGCGGCCCACAGCCTCGAACAAAGGGCGGCGAGCGGCGGCGGCGGCCCGGGGCGGAGGCTGGGCGCGGGGGCGGCCAGTGGGCGAGGAGGCCGGGCTGCGGCCGAGGGCCCCGGGCGCGCTTCCGCCGGCCGCGCCGCGCACGCCGCGGTAAATGGGAGGCTTGGCCGGCAGGGGCGGGGGCCGTGCAGCCGGGGACTTTCAGGAACTGCAGGAGCAGGCGGCGGCTGGAGTCGCCGAGCGCCCAGCGGCTGGGCCTGAGCGCCGAGACTCGCGGCCGACGCGGAGCCGCCGCCCCCGCGCGGGGCCCAGCTGTAGCCGCCGCCCTCGTCCTCGCCCTCGCCCTCCCGGCTCGGGCCGACCAGCCGCGACGCGGGAGACGAGCCGGCCGTCCCGGGCCGGGGGACCTGCCCGCCATGGCCACCAAGGTGAGGGGCGCTCGGCGCAGGCCCGGCCGGCCGCTCGGCCCCGCGGCGGCGCGGGAAGGGCCCGGAGGATGGGAGCTGGCGGCGCCAGGGAGGCCGAGGGGCCGCGCCGCGCCCTCGGTGGGGTCGCCAGTCTGGTCCGCGGCCCAGCCGGTCCCCTCCGGGCGTGGGTGCTGCGGGCCGTGCTGGCGGCTGGCGGCTGGGGTCGCACGTAAGGCGGGGGGTCGGCGGGGGCTGGGCTCCGGCGCGGGTCGGGACCCCGGCGCGGCGCCGTTTACAAAGTTTGCCACCCGAGCGTGGGCTGCGGGCGGGCGCGCCAGGACAAGCCGCGGAGGCTGGACGGAAAGTTCCCGCAGCCCTGGGAGGTCCTGGGGGAGACGCTGGGCCCCCGAGGCGACTGCGCCCCGTGGCGTCCGGCTTCCCCACCGCCCCCACGTCCCCTCCCTCTGTCGGCGGCGGGACCCTCGGCCCGCGGGGCGGGTTGGGGGCCGAACCCCCGCCCGAGAGGACGCGGCATTTTCAACCCGGCCTGCGGGAGTTCGCTGCCGGGGAGGGGAGACTCGGCTTGAACACCCCGCGCTCCTCCGCTTTCGCTTCTCTTATTTTTTTCTTTTGTTTTGCTACCTTTTTAGTCTGAATGGTTTTGCCAGCATGAATAAAATATCAAGAGGGAAATGACTATGCTTTCGATTGCGTGTTTGCCTGAAAAAAAGGGTCAGGCCCGAATTACGTGGTGGAACTTTAACTCCTGTTTGGTAATTGGCCAGGAGTGGTGGTTTGCTTATTTTAAGTTATTGTTTATAAAATTAGCAGTCACCCTTTGATACCCGAGTCTTCAAAAGCCACCCTCCCCCGTCCCTTTTCTTGGGCGTTTTAAGTAGTTACTTGATGTAACTGGGAAAGCCACGGTCACGGAATGAGGACCTGGGGTTGGAGGCTCCATCAGTGAGCTCTTGATCTGTGATTGGTGCGAGGAGTGGATTTACTTTTTCACATAGTTTTTGTAATGCCACTTTTATAAACATCAGCATCCTTTTCCATATTTATTTTTGGGATCTCTAAGCTACTTTTGGGTTGGTGAAAACCCTAATTTTTTTTGTTGGTGGTGTTGGGTGTGTGTGTTTGGTGGAGGCATAATTTGGAAAAGTGGTAAGACATTTGAAATCCCTTTGAAAAGTCACAATTGTCTGATTTCATTTCAGTCTGCTAAATTTTGCGCTCTGAATCCGTCTAGGTGTAGCGTTTATAGAGAAATGGAGATTCTCCTCCGGGGAACCTGTTGCTTCTGTTACTGAAATGATTATCTTCTTGTTAGTGTATTATTGGCTGTGCTGTTGCTTGGTTTTTACTAGATGTGATAGAACTTGCTACCTTTTAACATGTATTAATTTTGTGTTGATCTTTTTAAAAATAAAACTTAAACCAAGGATGTTTAAGGAAATTTGATTTTGAGGTTTGTTGTCAAACATTCCAGAAATTACCAATTACACATGCTAGGACACATTCATCTTGCAACCTTAAAAGTGGTTTGTGACATAGAGATCTATTCAGTTGTGGTCAGTGTTGTGGTGTTTTCCATTCTGATCTACTGAAGCATGTTACATGCACTGTCCTTTAAGCGGAATACAGTTTAGCAACTAGTGGAGGGATACATAATGAAATTTTTATTTGATAATTAAGCCTGAACTTAATTTTTGCAAAAAATTGAAAAGGACGGTGGTTCCTCTACTAAACTTTAGTCTCATGTGTCCTGACTAAACACAAGCCTTAAAGCATGTGTTAGCACTTCCTACTTTGTTATCTACACCACTCTGAAGGCAAATTCCAGTAATTCTGACTTTGTTTCTTTCAGCTTTCTAATCACTGTTGCACACATACTCATTTCCATGTTTACAGTTGTGACAAACCACTTCCATTTTAAGAAAAGGAAGAGCAATGAAGCACTTATTAAAAAAGGACCCTTCCTCAGGTTTTTTGGTTTTCTGACTTCCTGGTGATTCTTGTGTCAGACTAGAGGGGTTTTTTGTTTTTTTTTTTAATTGCTCCCAAGAGAGTAGAGTTGTCATTGTTGCTTCCCTCAACCCCCGTACACACACGCCACGTCCTTCCCCCCATCTGAGTAGTTTGATTCTTTCTTCCTTTTCTTTAATGGGTAGGTGGGGAGAATGTACTTAGTAATAACTACTAACTTTTAATCAAATTTTAGGCTCACATGGCACTCAGGTTCTTGCTATAAGCACTAAGTGATGAGAAATATATTCAATATCTGGACATACTACATATGTTGAGTTTCCCTTTGAATTTACCAGAGAATGGCTTTAGTTCTTTTCACATGCAATTTTCTTTCTTGTTCTTAACATGTTTTCTTGAAAATGCAATTATCTCTGAACTGTCATGACTTTTAGAAACTCCACTGGTATATTCACAATAGGAAAAAAAATATCTTTTAGAAGAAGAACTTTAATTGGGCAGTTCTTCACTGGTAAAGAAAGTTAATCAGTAACTGCACATTTTAAAGGAATTATCTGGTTTTTTTGTTTCTAATCCTTAGTAGAATACTGAATTCAGTTTAAGTGCATACTCTCAGTCTAATCATGTCTCATTTTACAAATACAGAAAAAGGCTACTATGAGTGCTTTAGTCTTGACCTCTGTTGGAAACCTTTGAAGGCTATATTTTGACATAATCCTATGGTGGACTTGAGTAAACAAAGTTTTATTTAAAAGATCAAGTCTTGGGGAAGAAATTAAATTTTTTTTCAATATATGTCAAAAAGGACATGAAAATAGTGAAAGTTAAGCCATACTGTAGAATTTAGCTGTAATTTTCATGTCAGAGTTAACCTTTGGTAACTAATTTAGGTCCTTTTGTGCTTACATAATCACTTTTAAGAGTAATCATTATAACAAGATTCTAGGATTTCCTGATTTTTTTTTTTTTTTGAGACAGTGTCTCACTGTTGCCTGGGCTAGAGTGCCTGCGGGTCAGCCTAGCTCACAGCAACCTCAAACTCCTGGGTTCAAGCGATCCTCCTGCCTCAGCCTCCTGGGTAGCTGGGACTACAGGCACGCGCCACTGTGCCTGGCTAAATTTTTTCTGTTTTAGTTGTTTGGCTGATTTCTTTGTATTTACAGGAGAGACGGGGTCTCGCTCTTGCTTAGGCTGGTCTCGAACTCCTGAATTCAAGCAGCCCTCCCGCCTTGGCCTCTCAGAGGGCTAGGATTATAGGCGCGAGTCACCGCGCCCCGCCCTGATTTTTTTTTTTTTTTTTTTTACTTTTCGGCTTCAATATCTAAAGCTATACACATGTGTTATACAGCTTGTCTGATTGAATTAATTGGGTGTAGAATGTTAGAAATACTGGTAGAGAATGAGTGAATTGCTTAGGACTATTCCATGAGATAGATTAGTGAGAACAATTTAGAGACTATATAGTCTCTCCTGAGCAGAAACCTCTTTACTTGAAGAAAAGAATAGAAATAATCTTTCTAAAGGGTCTTTAAGGATTAAAGTTGATTTGTATAATTTTTTAAAAACAGTATGGAAAATACTAACCATTCTATTTTGTATAACAGTAATTCTTTTAAGTGTCTTAAATAGAATGTACAGTATTTGTAAAGTCAAAGATAAATTTTGTGATAGTGGATGATGAAAGAATTTCTCATTGAAAAAGGAATAGATTAGAAAGCATGGAAATTTTGCAAAGTTTTCTCCTGTGCTCTGTTTATGTTAATATATTGACCATCTGAAAATTATAGTTGTACTTTTATTGCTCAGTTAAAACTTTGTATCTTTTCATATGCTGTTTCTTTTCCGGAATGCTCTGTCCTGTTCCCCCAGGTACCTTCTTTTTGCGTGTTAGGTCTTAATGCGTCAAAGCATCACTGGCCCAGGAAAGCCTTTCCTGATTGCCCTGATCGATGTTACAGGATCACATCATGCTTCCTGGCTGCCATTTTCCATTTGTTTCTATGACTAATGGCTGTCTCCTTTGGGTGCTGTCAGCCACGGAAGGCTGGGACAATGTGGTTTGCTCACCTTTGTATCCGCAGTGACCAGTTGGAAAGAGCAAAAAGATAATATAGTGAGATAAGTGACTCACTTATTAAAGTTAAAGAAAACTCTCAATCTCCAACTGTAAGCTTTCATTCTTTTAATTGTGAGTCACAGTAAACATTTTTAAAAAAAGTACACAGGTATAATGCAAAATTTACATCTGCAGCTTAGGTATTAGCAATGTTTTTAAAATATAATTCACTTTTACTAATGATTACGTAAGAAATTGGTTCTTATGTTTTAAGATAATTGGAACAAGTTTCATGCTTCTGAGACATTAAAAAGAGTTGTCTTTAAGCCATGAGTTGTCAGAAATGTGTTTAATTTCCGAAAGTGTAGGGTTTTTCTGTTTATCTTTTTGTTGATGATTTTAACTTCATTGCATTGTGATCAGGGAATCTGATTAATAACCAGTACTATACCTAGGAATTTGTTGAGGCTAACTTTATATGTAGTCAGTTTTCATAAATGTTCCATCTGTGCATAAAAAGAGTATGTGTATTTTCGTGTGTGTATACTGTATGTCCGTTAGATTTACTTATTAATTACGCCGTTCACATCGATCTCCTTATTAATTGCTTGTCTCTACTTGATCTGTTATATCTAACTGATCTTTTGTCTGCTTGATGACAATGTTAAAATGGTGGATTTGAAAAATTTCTGTGTTTAAAATTAGTGTTATCTTCCAGGTGAGTTGAAGTTTTTAATCATTATAAAGTGACTCTTTAGTAATGCATTTTTTCTTAAAGACTATTTTGTCTAATGTTAATGTGATTTCACTAGCTTTCTTTTGATAAATATTTCCCTGGTTTATAAAAGCCTATAGCTGAATTTTACATTTTTGTTTAATCTGGTGACCTTTGTGGCTAGGGAATTTCTGTCTGCTTATAGATTTACTCATGTTATACTGTCTTTGTTTGCTGTTCCAGTCCTTTCTGATAACTTTC